TGCCGTTCTCTTCCTAATCTTTCCTAGGCGTTGCTAAAGTTGAATCCATTTGCGCTTGGAGAAAAACATTTCAAGATGGCCCTTGCGCGTGCGATTAAAAACGGAAAACTTAAACGAAAAGCTGCTAACAAAGTTGACGAAGCTCCTTCAAAAAAAGCTAAATATGTAAAAGTAAAATAATGTCTTGAAATACAGTTGTGATGATGGCATCATTTTCTGAATGCATAGATGATTGTCTGATATTTCGACCTATTCTGCTTATCGACAGTCGAGTATGTCCTGGTGTTGTTCGTGTTGTGTAGAACATTTCAAGAATACATAACACTTAGTGATTATGAGTTGTAAAACAACAAATTAGAAATAAGTTTGAATTGCAATAAGCATGACAGCAGTCTTTCGTTATGATCGTGGTTATGTATTTGTAAACTTTAAAGTCAAATTATGTAGTTTCGTGACTAATGTTTGGCTGTAACATTCTAGTGGTCTCATCTGTGCATATGTAAGGCTAGTCAGCGGTAATAAGGTTTACGATTTTGATAATCAGCAACCCCATTTGGAGGCTTAACTAAAAATGTAGGTAATTAAGTGATCGTATATTAAAGGCACTTAACTGTATGATGTACTAGTTACAAGTGTTTACCACAAAGACCGTTTCAGAAATCTCGAAAAATACGTTGTAGGATTTATAAGATTACAGGTGGAAGCTTCAAGTTTCTCACGAAACACTTCGTTAGTTCCATTTCATGGTAGGGTTTTTGATTAATATCAAATGTTTGTGTGAAAATCTATTGTGGGGTTACCTATTTCTGTTATGGCTAGCATTATGTCGTATGTTGTACTACCAATAGTCTTGGCAAGTAAGTTTATTGAAGAGAATCTTAATGCTTACCATTTAAGGGAGTGAAATTAACTTGCATCAATAATGTCGCGAGATCAATCCCTTTTGATACCGACTGTATAACGTCCGCGTAAGCATCGCAACCAATGGTTAGATAATTTAGGTGGCATGATACAAAAGCCTCTTCAATGTTAAAGGTGCATTCACTGTATCTTCCTTAAGATCCCGAAATGTTATCTATTTATTTCCTGCACCTGAACTTTTACCCTAGTGCTGATACTTATACTATAGCGTGCTTCTTAAGAATTCAATATTGTGTGGCAACTTGGGACGGCGTACATGTTGAGCTTCTGCGTTAAAAATGACACTCCTTTTTGATAGGGTATCAAATATTTTCGACGACTTAACAATGTCACTCGTGAGTGATTACCGTTATGTTGCTTAGTCGTTGTTAGTTACGTGCCATCTCGTCGACATAATGGGCTAATTGACAATTTGACCACTGTAGAACAAGATGAATATCCTGTGCTCTAAGTATCTTTGATCAAAACACTAACTACTACCGTCCAAAGGTGTCTTGGACTTTTGTCTCATGTAAGCTTTGTGGTTTGGCAGAGCTGCACAACAGCAATAAATTTCTCACCCAAACATGTTTTCCTCCCGCAACAATCTTCCATGGGAGAGTTACAAAGTTCGTTATTGGCGTGAAAAATTTTAGTGTAAATCCTCTCCGTCATCTTTCTTTTTTCTAGTAGCTCTTAACACTACAAAGCATTCTACTATTTTACGGCTTACTATATTATGGTCATCTGATATCACTGAGACACTCGTTTCAAAACTACATAAGTTGCTTTGATACGAATTGCACCCTTTTGTTAGAAATAACTGAATGGTAACCGATTGTCTGAATAAGTTAAAATCACATGAATACTGACTGTTTAGTCAAGTATCGGTAGTCAAAAGTCGTATTGACAAATGTAAACTGGATTGAATTTATTTACAGTATAAAATGACGGATCATCAGCATGTCTTTCTTCCCCAAATACAGCGTAGATTGTCTAGCTACTCCAGCAACGGGCTAATCAAATACTCCATGATTTAAATTAAAAGGCGATCTTAGGTATTACACCATTGGAAAGCAGGAAGCACTGGGTAGCTGTCTCGTCCTAGTATGGGAATCCTCAGTAGCGCACATTCGTGACCTCAACATGTACATCATTAGATAATGACAGCGCTTAAGATTGACCAGAAGTCCTCGGTTCAGTGGACTGTGGCAGGGTTGTGGACCGCAGATCCCATATTATAACTAGATACTTTGTAAGTGTTATCCGTAACATACATTTTTCCACGGTGGGAACCTATTGCGACTTGAAGTAAGTATCGATGATACTGAGTTTTTTCTGAATATGGCCTAGCATGGTTAGTGTGATTTTTGACTATAACTTTTCGGCTGAGGATTGTAATTGCGGTCTAGGTGTTACGAACGTCTGATGATTTGTACACTCGAATTCGTCAAAATAATATCCACACCTGTTTATACTGAGAAACTGCAGACAGAATATTTATTAACTTTTGCCGTTTTTTGGATAGCTATCAGTAGTGGAACTCAGGATAGACGTTCCATCCTACTTCAACTTGTCAGACAAACTGCAATTTCTAACTCAGAAACGATCGACGCTATCTAGTTTACTTGCAAAAAGAGCAAGCTAAATTGAATGGATATCATTGTCATATGTTGTGGTGTTCTGTACTATTTAAGAAAAGACAGAATTCCGGTTAGGATTATAAGTGAACAACAGCTAGACTCCAAGAGTTTACTTCTTGGAATCAGCTTGGTGAATGTACTTGTATCCTAATGATTTGTCTCTATCTGATTTCAAGGTTATTATCTATCATTTAGAGCGCTACCTCTTGTCTATTGACAAAATTTGCTTGTTGCCTTTTAGAAACAGTCCTTATCATTATGAGTTGTTATCAAGAATGAATATCAAGCAATTTACTAGGATCAATACACCGATACATTTTGGTCCGTAGTTATTTAACAACTTTTATTGTCTTCAAGTATGCTTAAAAATCACATGTAAACGGTCGATAAACAGTTCTGAAAATAATAATTAGGCTTATGTAATATCTTTACCTACTATAGTAACGCAATTTTTTTTACTGCTCAACAAACATCGTGAAATGACTCAACTTATTCACTAATGCAAATTTGGATTTTAAACTCGGTCTGAGTGGTAAGCGAAGGAATGGCGTTATATTTGTTTTATGAAATATAATCTTTGGGAACAGTTATATAAAAATGGTCCCATGGTGCTGCTAATAAAGGTATTAATGCGATTTGCAAAATACTAAGAAAGGAATGTGGGATTATTAAGTTTTATTTTCAGTAGTAATCGTTTATAAGTTTTTTCTAATATCTCATGTTTTTTGAACCATTTGTGATAGAAGCTGGTCAATTCAACGAATGCACTATAAACGAATCATAGGAATGAAGAATTGTGGTGTTATTTAATTTATCGATCATTTTTATGGTTGATCTATTATAATATGATTATATGCTAGTAAAATGGCAGTTTATGTAGAAAATAGGAAAGCAGGGTTATGTATATTTGAATTCTCAAGAAATAGGTTTCTTAAGTTACTGGGACGTTAGATTTATCCTATGATTACAACATGCTTAATGCACTAAATCCGGAAAATAATTGCTGGGTTTTCTAATATGAAGTCATAACCGGTGGGATTCAACCATATCGGAAACAGACAGATACCATCAATTTTTTGGACAACGTTGCGAATTGACTGAAGTTAGGATTGCGAACCACCTAATTCCGACATGTCAAGGAATCGTAAGGTCCTAGGTCAGATTCGAGGTGTGGTTATAGGTTCAATGTAAAAGTGCCAAAACAGGAGGGAAGGGCTAAACAGTGTATTAGTCTCTATCGATAAGGGCAAATTAGCTAATAATATTTGCATTAAATACCCACGATTATTTAATTTTAGACTGGCTATTACTCTTACCCTTTTTATTTAACTACCAATCATAACATTGCACCAGTTGTGAAACAACTAATCCTTGTTATTGACTCTGTATTATATCCTCGTTACTGTTTAGTATGCGTGTGTTATTTGTTCTCTTCGTAATTGGGTTCTTGCGCTAATTGTATTAATTTGTAGTTTATAAACATATTATAATTGGTCGCTATATACATATTTACCTCTTTTGACGATAGTCCTGCTAAAACTGTTTTGGAGTATAGGAACTTACTCAAAAAATTCACTTTAAGGTGATTACTTCCTATATATTATTCCCTAATTCTCAAAGGCTATTTAGCTGATGGATGGCTTGTATTTGTGTTTACTCTGAAACATCAGTTGCTAAAGTCTTGAACATTAGAGCTTGAATAACCAGTAATCGTAAGCACATATCGTGTTCTGATATTCAACATTAAATTATCGGAGTTTAGTAGGTAGTAATATTTTGTTTTCAAAGCTGTAAGGACAGCATTATTAGCGATATAAAAATGCATACATTTTTTAGGGTTGCGAGTTGTTTGTGAAAATGTTAACACTTCCCAAGTAACTTGTTTGTACGTTTTCCGTTCTAAACTACTGCGATTTTCATTTCAAGTAATATGTGAATTGCTGGTCATCGCCCTCAGCTTGGTCGGTTCTATAGGTTATAGCTTCCTATTGGAGTTTCGAGGAATCCATAAATTACCAGTAAGTGACTCTTTCCAACATTCTAGTGTATTCCGAAGTCAATCTCCATTAACTAGGGAACTAATGAAAAGTCAGGGAATAGAACTGGATTCCTTTAAATTTTATAATCATTTTGTGAAGGTCACTAGTAAACTTTCAAACGCATAACAATTTGCATGAAATATACGCATTTATTAAGAAGTAATTTTCACTCCCAAAAATATAGTGTCAACCATAATATAATTGGAAATATAAAAAAAACAATTGAAATTCTCAAAATTTACAAAATTCCATTTCGTTCATTGACAATTGAATTTATGTTAACCAACATCAATTTATCTTAGTTTACCTTTCTAATAAGACTAACAGAAAATAAGTTGAACGTAGATGTAAAATACTTGGAATACTCTTCCTATTGATGTACATACATATGCATGGTGTTTCATTGATGCGGAAATTATTAGTCTTCAACCGTTGATTCTATAAAAGCATGTAAATTTACTTCTTCGCTCGGATTTAATTTCGGACAATTTTTATGCATAAAATTACGAGGTGCAATCGCACCATTTTGAGTTGCACTTTTGAAAGAAAATGTGAAAATGAAAACCAGAAGTAGATTTTAAGAAAAACATTATTTAAAAAAGTCATTTAAATCATTATAAATTCGGAGGGAATGGTTTTTGTTTATTTTGGTCCATATTTGTTAGCTGTGTTCAAATCGAATCAGGTCACAGAGAAAAATAAGTTTCAGAGTTTTTTATCACAGTTAATTTTTTCAGATTTCATCGAAGCGTGATTATGGTTAGATTTTACACTTAGCTTTCGTTTAATTACTTTTTTTTGTTCTCCGTATTATAAAGGCTATTATTTGTACTTACGAACTAGTTTAAAGGAATTACAAACTCGGACAGAAACACTTGCTGTTGGCAAATTTAGGTTTTTAGCTCATGCGTTGGCATAACGAGCGACAAATATATTGGAATTGAGGTACACCTCATATATGACAGATGGAGAAACAGCTGTATCTGGTGAAACTAGTAAAAAACTTGATGATTAAATACGGATGAAATATACAGACTTGAAAACATATAACTTCCTACCCGTAGATTTTAATTGGTCAAAAATGGTTTAAGCATAAATATTTGACTGTTAATCTTAATGAAGTCAGGGTCATCTCTCATATCTCTCTGTTCAGATAAATCTCCCCAATCAAAATAACCCTAGTGCTTTCACTGTGTTCGTTTGTTATTTCTTACTCTTTTGTCACTCTTTCTACGTCGACATGTGTAGTAGTTGATCCCGACAAGAGACTGAAACCGTATCAAATATAGGCGCTCACTGGTCATATAAAAAGAAATACAGATATTTTATGGTCTGCATTACTCTGTCCCTTTTGTGAAGGAAGTTAAATATTGTTTCTTTATCTTTAGATTTATCTCAGGAATTTTAAAAATTTCGCTGTGTGGTTCATGAAGCTTAATTCAATACTTGAGTTGTGGAGTCTGCTGAATGTTATTAAGATTATGAAATCAATCCAGTTCGAAAGGTCTTTCACTGGGAATCGACCTTAGGGAAGTATTTTAAAATTATACCGTTGTTTCGTCATAGTTTGAGACTTTGATAATATCTTTCAAATATAATCATCTAGTAATTTCCACATCTAGTGTTATTCAAGTATACACCAGTTGGCGTCTGCTGGGATCATCGGGTAAGTAATAGTGGGGTTAGACGCAGGGTATTAGGGAATGATGGTAAATCATTTGATGAGGTTGTGAGTTTTTATCGACTGAGATGGTTGGGCCACGTGTTACGTATGCCTGAACACCGATTACCACGACGTGCAATGCTAACCGGTCTTGGAGATGGTTGGAAGAAAGTTAGGGGCGGCCAAACCAAAACGTGGCATCAGTGTTTGAAGTCACTAACTTCTAGTCTGAACCATGTTGGGAGATGCAGACTACTTGGTTGGAGTCCGCGTGACTGTCGTAACCAATGGTTGGAGACTCTTGGTGACATGGCTCAGAATCAATCACAATGGCGTTGGTGTATACACTCTCTGTCTTCCGTTAAACTAAGAGATTAAAATCGCTTCATATCTTTCTTTCTACGAACTAATTATTTCTTCGTGTACTATATCCTTATATGCAATCTTTCTTTTATATATTAACACCTCTGAATTAACTACTTTTATGAATCCGGTGTTCATCTTGTTGTGTTAATGAGGTATGGCAGCTTGGACCGATGGATATATGTACTTGATCCTACGTTGTAACTAACTGACACCAGTTAGGAAAGGAAACTTTTCGTAAGAGAATCAACTTATGCTACCGTTATCTCTACATACTAAGTCTAATTTGTCAAAGCAATAAAAAAAATCAAACTTACATATCAAAACTCAAATGAGCTAACACTTTATTAATATGTTCATCTGGTATATCATCTATTTTCGCAAGATAACGATAGAATTCTAGCCATTGCTCAAATGGTAATCTAGCTGCCCCACCTTCAGGATCTGCCGTTAAAATTTCACATATCAATTTCAAAGTTTCTGATAATGTCTGTAATAGTATAACAAAAAAGTGCAAACGAGTTCTTAAGCTTAATAAAATAAAGTAAATCCTGTTTTATCCAAGGTTCAAAATGGGTCTATGGTCCATTTTTTGGACACCAATAGATCATAGACATGAACCGTGCTTGATCTACTAAAATTTTAGCAACCAGGAAATATCACTGTAACTCGCTAATTAAACATGATTCGTGGTGTAAGTAAATGAGTCTACATATAGCTGAATAGGATGGATAGCCTTACATCAATAATAGTAATTGTTATGTGGTTGAATGTAGTTCACAGTTATGAAATACATAATAGTATGATTAAAATATCTTGATACCTTGTGGATGTAGGGTATTAAGGTAATGCTTTAGAAATTTGAAAAGTAATAAATTTGCGACAAATTCTCAGAGTACTTGGCTTTATGGTAGTGTATTTCTCAACATATTCACCGAACGTTTGCGCGCAGGAAGAGGCTGTAGTTCACTCAATATAAATAGAAGGAATACTGCGGTTCTAAATTTATGTAAATGGGTCTAGAAAACAAAAATGACATTTTAATTACTTCCTAAGAAAGCATGCCTTCAAATTCCCTGGTACGGCCGAAGGTGGAGAGAGTCAGCTCTCATCCTCGAAATGCTCTCACATGGTCACATGTATACAACCACTGCCAGGGAAGTCCTACTCACTGTCTTCACGTGGCGGGGGTGTTGTTCACGAACTTGAGAGGACGAAAAGCGATTGTCCAGCGCTTTAACCTGGTTGGTGGACATGGAGAGTCTACCTAAGGGAGTTGGAAAACCTGATTCCAAACCAATGATGCACATGGGCTCCAGTATCCTGAAGGAACAAATGTCGTGTGAACTTATTGTTGGTCACTGGCTACCATGAGACTGCATCTCCTGACGTTGCTCCACTGCCTTGCGAACCAGACCTTTAGATTGAAAGCTACGAATGTGCCGCCCCCCAAGAAAACCACCTGCTTCGGTTTGGGCATCCGGGCAGTACCCCAGCCCTAACACAAATCGAATGGCGCATATGTATCTAGTGCTCCTTTGGACCAATATTTATGCTCAAATAAATAAGTGAACACGTATTGGCGAACAAACAATATGACTGGACTTCGAGATTTTACCAAATTAACATTTCATACAGACATCACATAAGCTTAAGCTTAATGTATTACTACCCATTAATGTTCCTATTTTTAAACATTAAGTCATATCGATCCGATTGCATGTGAATATATCGTTTTACCTCATTGTGTTTAGTCATACACCTAGATAATAATAATAAAGCAATTTACTAGGGAGAACAAATTACTTGAGTCGAGGTCAAGCTGTAAAATTAGTAAATTAAATATTATTTGTTTTGATAAATTTGGATTACCCAAATAATGAATCTAATACAATAATAAAGATAGATTCATTGAAATTGAGAAAAATTGTTGATACGTAAGAGCGAAGTATATGTGTAGTGGACAAGAGCACAAGTGGGGACAATCGAATGTATTTGAACATAAATTACAGAACATCCCATTAAAATCTGAGAACCATACAGTGAATACTTAATTTGCAAAATATTAATTAAGTGTCTCAAACTCGAATGTTCCTTTTGCAAATACTAGTCCATCGTCTTAGATTTCATTGTTCTAGCATTTTCAGTTCCAATCCTTTCCTTCTCCATCTTCTACTGAAATACACTCTCTTCCTGACATCGTTATATACTACTTATGTGGATATAAGTAGCTCACATCACATATGTACAACCAAAAAGAGATTGTTCATAGAGAATACATTTGAGTCTATTGCATTGTTATTAAGCTCCTTGAGATGGCTAGCTTAGCTTCCACGTTGCAAATTAAGTCAGCTAATTAGATTCAGAACTATATGCTAGAAAGTATAAAATAAGTTATTAGTTGTTGATTAATTAATACAATCATAGAAGTTGAAAAATGGTATCTATGCAGTCATACGCGAGTTATATTAACTGGATAATTTTTAAAATATGCCTCGGTTTCAGTTTAGTGCTCAGTTATATGAACATAAAAGTGTCTTTTATTTCTATATTAAGGATCCAGTAAATCTGTACCATCCAAGAAACTAATTCTAAATCTAAGTGAAGGAAAAGAAGTGTTCTGAAATTATTTTGTCTAGCACTTATTACGAAGAAATAAACTATTGATATGTAGTGAAGTCGCTATAATACGCTTGTATCATTAGTTTTATGTCAATGTAAGGCTAGTTTCCTACAGTGATGATATCAGAATTGACAGATATACATGTGCCGACCAGTGATGGTTTGCTTGGAATTTTAAAGTCTACTTCTAAGCTGAGAGCTGGTTGAGGAGTGCTGAATATATTGTTTTCTATTTTATGCGATGATTGATTAGCTAACATGTAACTAAACGTTATTACGACTTATTCAAGGTACGTAGTGAGGTGTAATCAGTGATAAATTAAAATGTCTTAATAATTAAACAAGATTCTTTGGTCTTTTTAACAAGTCGAAAAATCTTTTAGGGATAAATCAGTAATGATAAAGAAAGTGGATTAACTAAGACACAAATTATGGTAAACTCTGTATGAGATAAAGTAAAAAGACTTACGGCACATAAATCAGAAGCAGCAAGTGCCAAAAACCACCTCCATTCACAGATATTTGCGAAATTTCCTATGCGACAAATTTCTTGAAATCGTTCAACCGGTAGCGACAAATCTTTCCATTTTTCTTCAATGACAGATAACGATACGATTTTCAATGACGCAAGCTATGAAAAGAAAAAGACAACACTATATGTTATGTTACGGAATTGCTTAAAGTTAATTATAGGAAAAGTTGGCAAATCTGTTCCGATGTAGTTAAAATTAAAAATCCCAGATCAATACAGCCAAATATTACCCTCCTTTTGTGTATTAGATCGTCGAGTGCTTTCCACTAGAGAAATAATTAAAGTATGTAGTGAGATAAAATAAAGTACGTAGGGTGATTTTTACTTAAAACAATGGATAAATTTCAGACACAAATACTAGTAAAGCATAGAAAAGAAATATTGGTTCACGTTACGTTCACATACCTATATGATTTGGAAATTGAAAAATTGATAACAGTTGATATGCATATTTTCAAAAAGCAACGCTGAAGTTTCTTGATGCAGACTATACAGACAAGAAGTAACTACTTAAGATATTCACTAAAGCCCTCATTACGTTTCAATTCGTTTTAAAAAACTTGGGTATACAAACTTCGTAACTACTTCTCAAAATCTCTGGAATTTACATCTGATTTCAGTTCAAAATCCACAACATTTTGCATTAATTTTACTAAAATTTGATACGGATCCTTAGGAAAATTAACCAAATAGATACGTTTAGGTTTAGGGGACATATAGCATAAAATCAGCTAGTAACCTAGTGTTGTACTCGGAAACAAAAGAAAAACGACATTTTCACCATTTACAAAATATTATGTAATCCGGGTCATCACAGAAAAGCCTACTCAAATATCAATAAAAGAGTGAACACTTAATTGTCAAAAGTTTTTCTCACTATGAGTCAAATATCACCAACTTGGAACCAAGCATAATATATATGCCTGTTTATTTATTTGAACACACAAATACTGGTACAAGGGGGTAACAAATACACATGCGCCACACAAATCTCATTTAATATGTATGAGGGCTGTGATACCGCCCGGGTGCCCAAACCGAAACACGTGGTTTTCTTAGGGGGCCACACCCGGAGCCTTCGACCTAAGGGCCTGATCCACAAGGCAGTGTAGCATCGTAAGGGAATGCAGTTCCATGGTAGCCAATGGACAACGATTGGTTCATACTCCATTTGTTCCTTCAGGATACTGGAGCCCATGTGCATCATTGGTTTGGAATCAGGTTTTCCAACTCCCTTAGGTAGACTCTCCATGTCCATCAACCAGGTTAAAGCGCTGGACAATCGCTTTTCTTCCTCTCAAGTTCGTAAACAGCACCCCCGCCACGTGAAGACAGTGAGTAGGACTTCCCTGGCAGAGACTATACACGCGTGGCCGTGTGGGAGCATTTTGAGAGGAAGAGAGGACTCTCCCCACTCTCGGCTGTACCAGGGCATTTGAGGGCATATGGCTGTTGAAATCCCAAATTATATCAGCATACCAAGTTAAATTATCCAGGTGAATACGAAAGTAGTAGAGATACTATTGGAAAAGAAGGAATAAGTTTGTAAAATAAAAAAAGTATAATTTCAAAGTTGAAGATGTGAAGAAAGATGGTAAACGAATCCACCTACATCTTTAAAACCAACTTTGAGATATAAATCAGTGGACTCAGAAATAGTCTACCATGTGAGGGGATGTATTGTTATCCGTGAACAACCGTGAAAGAATTGAACATATATATCTAGACACCCACGGACTGCTTTTCTTCAGTTGGAACAGTGAGTATACAAATACGACAAATTTGTTTCCTACCCCATGGTACGGAATAATGTCATTTTTAGTTTTTTTCTTCTACTCCCTTTTCCAAATCTCTAAAACGTATAGTCAGCGTCATTTTCTGTAGAACTGCTTATCAGCAATAAAATGTACCAACAAACTTTTAAAGCATCTACAAAGCCCTACACGATTACTGGGTTCGAATGGTCGAACAAATTATACCGGGTATGGTTAATGACTTGAAACAATTCATTAGTCTAAAGATGCTAGAGAAAGAAACACAAGTGGTTTTATTTAGCTCGTATAAATGTATCTTATAAAGTGACACAGGTCATCTTTGAAACGTTCGTATGCGAGATCTTGAATGCACCTGTTAAACAATAAATTTTAATTTTACCATCTATTAGTCTGAAAAATCGAGTGTTAATTTCGGCGAATATCATTCTATAAATTTAAACTTGGTGCAAAATATTTAGGTAGTAATAGTATAAATTATTTAGTATCATATATACCAAAAAGTACTGTATAAATGAAGGTCATAGCATTTATTCCGCTGAACCAACCTGGTTATTTAAAATTCTTAAAATTCCTGGTGTTAAACCTGTGTCTGTTTTTTGTGTACTTATTGGAAGCTCAAGTCTTTCTTTAACTGGTGGTATTTCACTTTGTGCCATCGCTTTAAAATATCTATCGAATCACAAATTACAGATTGGAACTACTTACGCATAAGACCACTTGAGAACGTCTTTAGGTTGCGTTCTGATAGCTGCTTTGGTGAATTGCTTTAAAATGTCTGGAAGAGCTGGAGGTATTTGTATTTGCTCATGACAATAATGAGGATTATTAGAAATAGGCATTAGTTTTAATATTTTAATAAATACTGAGGCTATAGTAACCTATATGTGGATTAGTTAAAACAGATTCAATAGTTCAGTATTGAATGACTGGTCTTAGATCCGATTAATAAGTAGTTGATAAAACCTGAAAAGTGTCAGATTCCATTATACCAAAAGAATCTCATAGGTTTTAATTGTTGTTTAACTACATGAACGATACAATCCAAATACATTTCAGCTGAAAATAAATCCTCAAAATAAATAGCTCTGTAAGTTTTCGACATTAGATGCTGACCACATGTTTTAATGGACTCACCTAGCTGAAGGCGCTCGGTCACGCATCAGCACCAGATCACGTGTGGGAACGCCGTGCTCAACATCTACTGCAATCGCTGTAAGACACTGAATACGTTTGCCATCTTCATTGTTGAGCCTAACGTGATCTGGTACACCAAATCGTAAACTGTGAGTCTGTGGGGACTCACTTTTATCACGAGAACACGATTGGTTTAATGAAAACAACTATTATTATTATAACCAATTGTACCTGTGCTTGTTTAACGTGCTCTTTGTTTAGCTGTGCTAATTATAGCCATTTTGTGCCTCCATTACCTTCCGCGGTTTTTGGTACTGTTCGTGCGTACTCCTTCCTCCAGTTTCCATTTGTACCATTCCTTGGCACGATCTTGGTATTCGTTCAATACCACGAGGTCGCCAACGAAATAAATCTGGTTACGTTCAACCCTCGTCTTCTGATTTACTTGGCACGTGTTTCTTGGTAGCGGTGTTCGTCGTTAATCTCAACTCGACGCCACGCTACAACTGGTGAGCCAAATTCTGGAACACGCCGCAGCCTCTGGTCGAATCTTCCAAAGAAGCCAATTCGGTGAGTCTATTATTTATCTATCCAGGTCTGTCGTATATTTTCATATTACCTTTCAATATATAATATACGCGACATGACGGATAACGATAAGAATGGTATTAATATAATAGACTCCCATGTACGTGTACCGAATCCTTGTCACTTTTTATTCGCGTGACGGTAAATTCCACGCTTTATTCGAGAAATTTTCCCCTATTGACTATTCTCCTCGCTGACCCGGCTGCTTGGTACGGAATGCATACGCATACGCATTACCGCCTACCACCCAGCACCAAATGGTTAAGTTGAACGGTTTCACTGCCAACTTAAAAGTGCTGTACGGGCACACGAGAACGACAACTGGTACGAAACCTTACCGCTCGTCCTCTAAGGTATTCGAACGAGCTTGAAGGCAGATATACAATGTTCCGCCGCTGAACTGGTATACGGCACGACATTGCGTGTGCCCGGAGAATTCTTCACACCACGGAGCAGACCTAATTTCGGTAAATCAGACTACGTCCATCGACTGTCTGCAGTTATGCGAACGCTGTCTCCGGTGTCAACTCGAATGCAACATCGACAGGTCGCTCTCCCTCGAGAGTTATCTACCTGTTCACATGTTTTTGTACGAGTAGATTCGGTACGCAAACCTTGGCAACAACCTTACGAAGGCCCTTTTCACGTGATCGCTCGTCACGAAAAGACCTTCAAGGTTGATCGACATGGCCACGTCGAGATCCTCAACATTGATCGTCTCAAACCAGCACACGTCGATGACAGTGCCGTATCTGACACCCTGAGATTCAATGCTAGACCTATCAAACCTAGCGGGATCCTTAAATCTTCAGGTCCCACGCTAGATATATCTGAGACCTCATTCTCACGTCCCGGTCAACAGCACGCGTCATCTGCACCGTCTACGGACGAGACGACAGTCTCACGTCCAGATCGGCAGACCACGCCGCCTCTGACCTCGGATGAGATTGCAGGCTCACGAGATATGAACGAGACAGCCGTCTCACGTTCCGGTCGCCGAGTACGGTTGCCCGTACGTTTCCGCGACTAGTCGCACAGTCAACAACCGATACGGTGTAGGATCACTCCTATACTACACGCATGCTACACTCTTTTCTCTTTTGATTTTCTTTTTGTTTCCTGAGCCCACGCCTTCGACCACCTCCGTTTGGTTCCGTCGACTTCAGCCAACTTTGGCGAAAGCTGGATTGGCCACCCACGCTCTTGTCAACGCACTCAGTCGATATATTGGTTTCGAATGCTTGGCATACGCTTGGTCTCGAACTTGGTCGTTACGGTCGCTTCTGGTTCATCGGTTCAACGTGGTTTCGTCCTACGTCTGCAGCGTTTCTGGTCCCGACCCCTACGAACGCCATCTTCAGATGCTGGATACAAACCACTCTGGTGTGGCATGCCAACTCGAGCAACAAATACAGCACATCGCTCCTGATACCGTTCTCCGAAAACGACCTTCGAAGATCAACGATCGCCTTCCTATTCGCCAATCTTTCCGTCCTACAATCGCTCGTCAGCCGATCAGTCCCACGATTTAAACCGCTATTTATCGAAAGTGTGAACACTTTCTAGCGGGGCTCTTGTAATGACTTACTTTTATCACGAGAGCACCATTGGTTTAATGAAAACAATTATTATTATAACCACTTGTACCTGTGCTTGTTTAATTTGCTCTTTGTTTAACCGTGCTAATGGCAGCTATATTACGCTTCCATTATTATTCACATACTTTGATTGTGACTTCGCGCGAATTCGGTTACGTTCTTTTACCAAGCTTGTATCCTGGCACGATCTCGGTATCCTTTCGATACCACGAGATCGCCAGCTAATAACCCTCGACTTGGTCCATTAACTGCATTCTGGTATTTGGCTTCTCATGGATTTGATGGATTTATTTGGCACGTGTTTCTCCGTAGCGGTGTTCATAGTCTACCGCGACTCGACGCCACGCTACAAGTCTTTTCAATTTTGGGATTCTATATATCATTGCTTTATTTTAATTTTTATACATTGTGATATTTTTTCCGTGCTTTTTCGACATATCTATTTTTTTCTAGTTCATTATCTTACTTCATATTTCATCATGATTGAACAGACAGCCAAAGTACTTAAGCTTAAGACTTTGTCCCCACCTTCGTTTCAGCTGATGCTTTTCTGGCCAGACAACATTGAAGCCTGGTTATGTCACGCAGAAGCCGACTCACACGAGCACGGCGTGAACGACACACGTGCACAATTCCTCGCAGTAGTCAAGGCACTACCGCGCAAATTCAACAGGTAAGTAACACCTAGTGTGTTTGCTAGTGATGTTTCTGAACCTTACGAAATGCTTAAACGTTCTATTCTTAAATGAGGAGACCTAAACGATCGACAAAGGCTAGACCAACTCTTAGATAACATAGACCTGCAGCACGGTTCTGCGACAGACATGTTGCAAAGGATGAGAGAGGTTATAGGCCCAAGAACTCTCGACAAAGGCCTATTCAAACAACTTTTCTTGTCTAAACTTCCCCAACAAGTGAAAGCGGTTCTGGTCTCGTTTCAGAACAACGCCTTAGACGAGCTGGCTGCATCTGCCGATCTTAGGATTCAGCAAACGCAACCGAAACTGCCGTGTGTGACCAGCAACGTTACACATCACATCACTCACGCGTTATCTTAATCTTCGTAACGACCGTATGCGATCACACACCCCACGTAGAAGCATTTCACGTAAGCGATCTGTCTCTAGACCACGAGGTACGGATAATCCCGACTGGTGCTGGTATCACAGCCAGTATGGAAAGTCTTCCAGAAATTGCAGAAAACCCTGCAATTTTCCCAACACGAAACCGACGTACTCGAAAAACAACTCAGGAAAATTCCAAGCCGGCACGCGTTAACAGCAACCGTAGCCGGCGAACATAGCCGTCTGTTATACGTCACAGATGTGACAACGAGAGTTCGCTACCTCGTCGATACTGGCGCAGAAATTAGCGTTCTCCCAGCGAATTCCAACGACCAGCTTCACGAATCGGCTCTAAACTTACAGGCGGAAAACGGAAAGCCTATCGCAACATTCGGTAAAATGTACGTTTACTTTAACGTGGGTTTACGCAAACCCACTCGATCCTCGTTGATGCAAATGTTTCTATGCCAATCATTGGTGTAGACCTCCTACAACACCATAATCTACTCATCGATACGCGCAAACGAAGGTTGGTAGACGGAAACGCTTATATATCAGTTCGCATAATTTCTTTTTCTGTTTGCAGATTATCTTCAGTCATAATTAAGCACACGATAGACCCATTCTATCAACCACTACTTCGTAAGTACTCTGAGATATGCTAAATTCAACCGAAATTGCCGTGTGTACCCAGCCACGCTACGCATCACATCACAACTACAGGACCACCTTTATTTTCGGAAGCGCGCCAACTGGCCACCGAAAGGCTGAAGTTAGCAAAAACGAACTCTATCACATGAAAGATTTAGGAATCATTCGATCGTCGAACAGACCATGGGCATCACCACTGCACATGGTCCCTAAAGAACCTCTATAATTAATTCTTTCGGTCTTTAAGAATTTTTCGCAAGAGTTTTGGCATAAGCAAATGCTGCCCAAACATCCCAAAGGTTCCGAGACGACGTTTATCGAGGTCTCAAACTCGCACATGCGTATTTTGGTGACTGTTTGATGGCAAGTCCGGACAGAGAATCTCATCGTCAGCATCTGAACCTTATTTTCAAACGAGTGACATTACAGTAAATATTCAGAAATGTGGAATCGGCAAGGACTCTCTAGAATCTCACGGATACACGATAAGGTTGTGTGTGGCCAGTCACATGCAGATTTCCCTTGGATACTGTGGTCACACTCTCAGGTTACTAAGACCGACTCTGACCCAATTTCCTTTTCGGGCACCTCCAGAAGAGAGCCTACATGGTGTGGGCAACCGGGGTGTGATAACCGCTCTCATTTCTCTAACAGCACTCAGCACTGTATGCATAATAAATTTCCCTCCTCAATTCCTACTTTCCCTCATACCTCGACTGTCAACTCTGAACTTCCTTACCGTGTTTAACGATTCAAGTGCGCGAGATACTGTCCCAGGTCTACTGAAATTTCTCTACAGCCTAC